AAAAAAAAAAAAAAATGCACGTCCAGCACAGATACTTGTGAACTATTAAAGTTTAACAATTAGTCCCAAAAAATGTCGAAACATAAGACATGCAATCAACTCTTTATACCAATCTGAATTTGTAAACGAAATGAAGTGGTAAGACATAAAGTACTCAATTGTCCATGGATTTGAATGGGAAACCTATAAGTGCACCTCCTTTCTTGACATACACAGTCCAAACGCGTTCTGCATAGGTGATAGAAGCTCTAGTGGGATATTATCACTTCAAATTCTAATTTAGTTAAAAAGGGTGACTCTCTTGATGATTCAACCTTCTGCATTTAATCAGGAAATAAGCAATACAATTAACTATAACAGCAAATTGATAAACAGCAAGACTACTAATTATCCAAACAACCCCAACTCATATAATACTGAACATAATTTTTCCAAACCCACAGAAAATTAAACACCGCCATAAGGGCTTGGGTACTAACACAAAAACAACAGTTAAACACTAAAACCCCACTATTAGCAAAAACAAGAAAAATAGAAGAAATAAGGATTAAGGACCACATTCAAACCCATATAACAACAATATGAATCAAACCCAATTCAGGACTCGAATACCAGCATTATCCCCAAAATTCACAACATAATAAAGAAACAGCAGACCTAGAAAGACATAAAAAAGGGGTGCAAATGATGAAAACCTTGTCGAGTAGAAAATTGGGGAAGAGCTGGGAAGTGGTGAGGAACTGAGCGCAACAGGGACAATCGCTTTTGTTCCGAAGATGAGTGACGATGCACATGTAACAGAAGCTGTGCCCGCATGCGGTGAGGAAGGCGTCTTTTGGGATCTGCATACATATGGGACAGAGCAGTTCCTTTTCCTCCACAGCTTCCGCCGCCGCCGGAACTTCGGCTTCACCAGGCTCCGCCTCGTCCGTCGACGGTGGCGGCGATGCTCCGATCACGACATCATCCATCCCTCGAGGCTCGATGACGCCGACAGGTGGTTTGTTTCAGCTGGCGAGCTGTGAGTCGGATGTGTGGATGTGGTGTGAACATTAAATTATAAATGCGAAATCCCACGAGATTATCAATATTTTTTGTGAATTTTAAACCAAAAAAAAAAAAGAAAAAAAAAAATAGTTAACTTTTTCCTAAAGAAAAAAAAAATAGTTAACTTTTTCCTAAATAAATCCTTTCGTGCATGAAAAAAAAAAAACAAAAAAAGAAAAATTGATTTTGATTGGTCGGATAATTTTTTATTTTTTATTTTTTGTCATAGTTACAATCGAATACAATATTTTAACTTAAAATTCAATGTTGATTTGATTCAATTAACTAAATTTAATATTATTAATATAATTATAATATTTATACAGTTATAATTTTTAGTAATATTATCAATATAATTTAATATTTATACGATTATAATTGTTTAGTATTATAAATTATACGATTATAAATGTTTAGTATTTGTATTGTTATATTTACCATTATAAATAAAAATATAAAAATAAATAATAATGAAACATATCCTTCACAGGAAAAATTCGATGTTATCGATAAGACCATCTCCAGCCCTTATCTCTATTCTGGCGCGGACTTTACTCTACTCTACAGTAGAGTGAAGCAAAAATAAAGTTTCGTCTCCAGCCCTTATCTCTACATTTTACTCTACATCAAATATATTATTTTTTATTCATTTTTATTTTAAATAAATTGGTATATATATATAATATATATACGATAATGCTCCCCTACCCACGGTGGGCACATGTTAATATGTCCACCGCTTATGTGGCATGCAAACATTGGTGATCTTAATATGTTCAAAAAAATTCATCACCAATGTGTGCATGTCATATAAGCGGTGGGCATATTAACACGTGTCCACGTGGGTAGGTGAGCATTACTCTAT